CAGCAGGCCTGAACAGCAGACTGTTGGGACCTAGCATGAGGTCCCAACATCCTTTAGTGGGACCTAAGCATGTGGCATGAGGGTTATGTAACATCAATGGACTCTTTGACCTCATGCCAACCTCTTGAAGTCTGTTCCTGACACATTTTGTCAGAAACATCCACAAATAGCCCAATGTGGGTCATTTTGTGGGGCACATGTGATGCTCCTCCTGTTCCTCAGGAGTAGATATCTTTCCTCCTGCTCCATGCTCTGTCCTTCTACACCAAACTCTCCTCACTTGTGTAACGGCCCGTCTCTGGTACACACAGCAGTGTCAAGAACACACACAAAAAAGGCTAAACTAGAAAAAAAACAGTCAGTATGGATAAGGAGAACGCTAATCTATTTAATTTGTGTGAATTGTTGTTGCCTCTACTACAAGCAGCTGAACTGGAATTGCACTATTTTACATAACATTTTTATAACAAACACTTCATTGCATTTATCTCGTGTTTTAGTTTCAGAATGAGACAAAGAAAATGAGACACGGAAACCTGATCTTTGAAAACAGGATTTTTAAATTAACTCCAAAATCAAACTCCAAACAGAAATTTCATCACTTGTTTCCACGTTTGAAAGGTTGTTTCGGTCACATGTGCTGCACAATCTGTGCATAACTGCTCGGTGTCTATGATTTGCAGGGTGCTTCTGGTACTTCTGGTGCAATGGGAGCTCCTGGTCCAGTGGTAAGTTAAAAAACACAGTTAAAAAGAGAGAATATTAGTCTGCTGCAGAGATACTGACTCCATCTTTGGTTTCAGGGACCACCTGGGATGCAGGGAGAAAGAGGCCGAGTCGGAACGACCGGCTCTGTGGTATGAGACAAATAATTGAGCCACATGACAAGAAAAGGAAAAAAAATGCAAAGATATGTTTCCACACTAAGTTATTTATCTTAATCTGTCTTTTTCTCTTAGGGTAAACGTGGCACACCCGGCCATGTTGGTAAACCAGGTCCTCTGGTAAGATCTACTAAATCTACTTTTTCCAACACTTCTGACCACACCGAGGCACACACCTCCTTTCAGACCCTGAGATTATTTCAAAACATAAAAATATAATTTTAATCCTCTAACATGCTTCTTGTTTTAGTGTCTAGCACGTCAGAAAATAGAGAAAAATCTCCCTTTTGATTTGAAAGCAGAAGTTAATATCTTTAATTTGCATGTTTTGACTGAACAAAATACTGGATATATGATATTACTCATTATTAAAAAAAACCTTTAGGTTAGTTAATTTAATTGGTTTAGTAGAAAAATACTGTTGCTGTTTCCAATCGCAGGATGAAAGAGCAAAATTTGATGGCCGATGTAAGTAAAAAACAAACAAACTGAAGTCCTAAAAGGAAAGAAGAAACAAAAACACAAGGAAACAGAAGAAAAGTAACTCAGGTAGCAGATAAAAGCAAAGGGGGACAAGACAAGAGTACCGATACACTCAACAAGAGAAAACCAAACCAAACTCTGTAAAAACAGACCAGAACAGTGAAGTTCTCCAAAAAACCTCCAAAACTCTGTAACACCGACACAGGAAGAAGGAAACTCTGAGCCAAAGTGTCTTTATAATCAGTCCGTCATCAATGAAAGGACAGAAACTCAATCAGTGGACAATGTGGGTTTATTATTAATTCATAATTAAACTGCACATTTTTTATATGTGGTGTTTAACGTTAAATATAAATCCTCAAATCAAATCCACAAAGTTAAAATAAGATGTATTTAAATCCAAATGTTTGTTGTTAAAAGTGAAAACATCGGGTTGGTGGTTCGATCCCTGGCTGCTCTGATATGGATGCCAAATATCCTTGGACAAGATACTAACCTCAAAGATAGAGAGCACTTATGTAGAAAAAGTGCTTGTGTGAGTGGGTGTGAATGGGTAAATGAGACAAGTTGTATGAAGTGCTTTGAGTGCTCAGGTAGAGTAGAACAGCACTATATAAGAACCAGTCCATTTATCATAAAACACTAATCTAATATTTGTCGTGTTGTAATTTTGTTCACGTTAACCTGAATATTTAAATGAAAATTGAGAAAATTAAACAAAATTAAATTTAAATTATCAAGAGTCTGAATGTGTTCTGACAGCATTTCAGCATTTGGAGATGTTTTTATTTTCAGTCATTTTGTCCCTGTCAGCTTAAAGTTGAGGCCATGTATGGAAAAAATATCCAAATTAAAAATGGTCATGCCCTGTCAAGAGCATGGCAAACCAACAGGTGGCGATATAGCCCAAGAAATGTTAACCTATCAGGAGCCAACAAACAATAACACGGTGCAAACTTTGTTGTGAGACAAAATCTATTTTGTTGGTCCACACATAAACACATAGTTGTCTTTTTTTAAGAAGCTCAGTTTTCAGTGAACTAAATCCCATTTACCGATGGAAAAAACATCAAGATGAGTGGGAAAAACACCGGTGTACATGTGGACAGTCTGAATAATTAGTAATTCAAAGCAAAATTGTATTGACATCCAGCTGTATCTGTTTAGGAAGAATTAACTTGGCGATGTGTTTTTTCCTTATTTCTTGCTCCACTGGATTAAAATGGAGGTCCCGCTAGTTTTTTACCTGTTGCCATGGTAAATGTTGGATAGTTGGAGTTGATTGAGCTTAATCGAATCAGGCTATCTGTAACACGAAACTCAGAGTTACTTACCTGGGCTCTCACAGACCCAGTCCCTGTCTTTGAACCAGCAAAAAAAATCACAGCTTCGTTGCGCTCGATCATAATAATTTTGGTTGTTCTGCCGTCTCCAACCACTGTTATCCTCAGTGTGACTGCAGTACAGCATAAAAAAAAACTTTAGCTGCTAGAACAACAGTGAAAACCAAACAAAAACCGACACACAACACAAAAACATCCACGACAACTACATTTTATCTTCTAGTTGTTCTTAGTAGCCCATTTGTTTATTTTTGGAGCACCATTTACCCAGATTGTCAACAAAATATCAGATTTGATTTTTCTTAAGTATTAAACATACTTTCCTTTAACCACAGGGGCCAATAGGAATCCCCGGTATACCAGGATTTCCCGGTAACCCTGGAATGAAGGTGAGATTATTTGACGCTTGAATTGTAAGGAGTCTGTTTTCATTCTCAGACACACTTCGATTAGTATCTAAGTGACAGATGTTTCTGAGTCACTGAAGTCACCCGAGAAGTCCTTTAATATTTCCTGAATGTACCTGCTGGTGTAGGGTGAAGCGGGACCAACAGGGGTCAGAGGAAGTCTGGGACAGCAGGGGCCAAGGGGTGACGTTGGGCGTGTCGGGCCACCTGGACCCATCGGACAGCAGGTGTTGTACTTTATCATTCTTGTTGCTAAAATAGCTGTAGACCCATTCTGGCCTCACATTACCACCATTCCCAGTTAATGTTTTCGTTTTTGAACAGGGCGCGTCAGGACAGGACGGAGCTCTGGGTCCCCGCGGCTCAGCGGTAAGTGATTGCAGCAAAGCTCTTTAACCAGCTGATCTTTGTCTACAAATGTGTTACAATAAAGGTCTTTATTTAATCTATTGCTGCTCTGTCACCTGACCAGGGTATAGCCGGTCTCCAGGGTCCACCTGGTATGGTTGGTCCCCCTGGCCCCCCCGGCCCCCAGGGTTCAACAGGAGCTCTTGGAGCAAAAGGCCAACTGGTATGAGCTCTCATTTTATTTAATTTTCTCTCTCCCTGTCATGTGAGTCTTCATTTCTCTATTTTAAAATATCTGTTTTAAACTCTTCTTCAGGGTGATGTTGGAGCTCCTGGATTCAAGGGAGAGGCTGGATTGAAGGGAGAGCGGGTAAGACCAAAGCTACCCAAAAATAAAGACCCTAAAAGTTCATCTTAGATGTTATTTTGGTCGTTAGGTTAAAGATTTGTCAACTGATTCAGTGGGTATGAATTTATGTTAGGGTGACCATGGTGCACCAGGTCCCTTAGGCCCCATGGGAGAAGATGGAAAGCGTGGACCCCGAGGTGATGCTGGATCCATTGGGCCTCCAGGATCCCCAGGAGAGACAGTGAGTCCATCAAGAATATTCACAGTCCAGTCATGTATAATATATTTAATGTATTCCTTTTTAACTCAAAACTACACGCTGCAAACAAGACAGACTAAACCTTTCTTTTTCTTTACTATAGGGACCACCAGGAAATAGGGGTTTCCCTGGTGCTGACGGTTTACCAGGCCCAAAGGTGAGTATTCATGACTCAAATTCGCCATCAGGTTCATCACATTCATTTCTGTGATTTTTGAATATTTCACACTTTCACTGAACAGGGAGCCCAGGGCGAGAGAGGGCTGCCAGGATCTTCAGGCGCCAAAGGTTTATCTGGAGACCCAGGACGCAACGGAGAGTCGGGCTTGACAGGAGCTCGGGTAAACTCGCATGTTGTAATTCATTGCCTAGAGCAGAAGGTTTATTTCATCCTTTTGCTCATGTTTGCAGGATTTTGTATATAAAAGTGAGCATCTGACAACCTCTGCTCACGAGGGAAATGATTCCCTTCTGAGTGGTTGGCAAGTGGTTGCTGCAGGTTGATGACATTTGCTGTGAAGCTGAAAAGCCAAAGTCATGGCAGCATAGAAACCAGTCAGTGAGTACCTGAAAATCTCCAGTCGCAGGGAAAAATGTGTATTCCAGAATTATATTGGTAATAATAATTGATGATATTGGTTGCAAAGAGGTATTCGGTGCTGGTTGGTTGTTAGCAGGTTGCCTGTTATTTACATGGAAGATATCGATTTGTCTGCAAACATGTGATAACTATTCTTTGAGTCATAGTGAAACTTGAAAAAGTTGCAACACAACCTGGAGAAGTAGAAACTTGACTTTCAAAGTAAAAATTGAGCTTTCGGAAATGTGTTGGCTGCAGCAATAAGGCACAACGTTTACTTTGAAGGTCAATATCGAGGAGCAGTTGGCAAGTGTTTGCCTCCTGCTCCTCGACATCAGGGCAGCAGGAAAGAATTGTCAAATCATTTTACCCATAACAGGCCCACTGAACACTTAGACCTTAATGACCCCGCCCTACCAGATACCTACCTCAGCACCTTTTACTCTTTGAGGCCACCAACCACAGGATGGTGCACAGGCTAGAAAGCTTCTGGACCAGACAAGGTACCAGTGTTGAACAACTGTGCAATACAATAAAAGGATGGTTAAACTGTCATATTTAACTTCAGAGTAAA